GTCCCCGGTCTAGTCCCCGGTCTAGTCCTCGGTCTAGTCCCCGCTCTGGACCTGCCTGAGTGCTGAGTCACAGAGCGGATCCCGGTGAGATGGAGAGCCGGGTTTAGGTTTCAGAACCGGTCGGACTCGTTGGAGCTAAAGGGCGTTGGGGGGGGGTGGGGTGGGGGCCCCTGGTGAGCGAGTGTCCCGGGGCCAGGGGCCCTTCACACTCTGAGATATGAGAGGCTTTGGCACGTACCTGCGCTGAATGTTTTTTTCTTTTTTTTGCCGACGGCACGACACAAAAAGGCTGAAAATCTTTTTGCGAGTTTCTGAAAGATCCACAGACGCCAAGAGCCACAGAGTCCAGCTTCAACACAACGAACGCTTTGAGTGCTCCGGCCCGGGTCCAGTTACGCCCAAGTGTCGCTATTTTATCTCAATTTAACCACGACTCTATTAAAGAACACTTTTTTTTGTGACTTTTATTCTCTTTTTAACATGTTTTTGGTCACTTTAGGATCAGCATTTCACAGTTTCTCACTTAAAAATTCGTCTTTCCAATGGGGCATTTATGTGTTGGAGCGCCCTCTGCTGTCAGAACGTCGGAATAACAGGCTGGAGTCCTTTTTCCGTGTTCTCTAAAACCGGAAGACGTTTGGAAACTGATGACAACTTCCTTTGGGCTTTTGTTGGCGATAGGAACTCTGACAAAATCTGGGAAAACTGAGAAATTTGCCCAGTTTTCTTTATCTAGATGAGGCGTGTCCAAAGTATGGCCCAGGGGCCAAATGCGGCCCTCAGACAAATCTTTCTTGGCCCTCAAGCTTCCAGGTGAATTGGCCCAAATTACCTTGCATCAATTAAAAATTAACTTTTTACTGCAAGTTTTTTTTGAAAATCTACCTTGAGAAAGTGAATATTTAATATTTAGTGTTTGGTTTTAAGGATCTTAGAATGAGCCGTTAATCTTTATTCATTCTAACGTGTTAAACATGCACATATTTTAATTATTCGCTGTACTGAGCTCCAGTCTACGGCCCTCGATCAGCCCTCTGCTTCGTCTGTCTTTAGATATGTGGTCCTTGATGAAAAAAGTTTGGACACCCCTGATCTAGAAGAAGAAGTAGTCATTGTGTTGTTTCTTTTTTACTTTTTAGAAATTGGCTATTAATTAGCACCAGAGGCTGGCGAAGGGCCTATTAGTATGGCAAACCGATGCTCCAAGTGGCCGAAAAACGGAATGGCGCGACGTGACTTGCCCGTAGTGACCAGGGACTCTCGCCATGACGTAGCAATGCTCCAGAGGTTTCCGAAAATGTATAGTTTGTCGGCCAAAAAAAAGGCGGAACATTGTTCTTGCATCAGAATATTATTCTTTCTTTCTTCTTTCTTTCTTAATATTTTTTTCCTAACCAACTCACCCATTTTTCACCCACTGAACAATGATGAAAAGTCCTGAAATTTTACCGTCTCGTAAAACTTGCGCTTCTCTAAGTTTTGGCTATTTCCATTTTCCAAAAATAAATAAAATGGCTCGTCAGCGCCCCCAAATGACTCAAAAATGCATTAACTTCTTAGGTTCTTTTTAAAGACAATGCAGGAAAGCAGAGGTGTCAAACTCATTTTGGTCCGGGGGCCGTGTCCAACCTACTTTGATCCCAAAGGGGCCGGATCAGAAAACTCATGTCATATAAACCCCAAAAATAACAATAAGTTCAAATATTTGTGCAGAAAAAAACAAATCTATTACAGAAATCTTTTTTAATTGATGAACTCTTTCTTTTACAAAATATTATAATATTATGAACAACCTGAAACTTTAAGAAAAATACAGTTTCAACACAAAGTTTTAGTATGAACTTTTGTGTAAATAGGAATAAGTACATTTTTGTTGTAAAATCCTGCACTCGGCTCCACTTTTCTCATGTTGGACATTTTTCTGATGAGGGTGTCACGGTCAACAGTCAAAACGATCGTCCTTTAAGAGCGTTTGGAAAGAGACAAGTCTTCATTTGTGCTGCTCTGGTGGGAGGGGCCACGTACAGAGACGCTGGAGACGCTGCTGTGATAAACACCACAGAAAATTAACAAGATTTTAATAAAAAAATATAATTCAAATATTTTAGTAGAAAATCAGCCAAGGGCCAGATTAAAGGTCTTGGAGGGCCGGATCTGGCCCCCGGGCCGTATGTTTGACACCTGTGCAGTAAAGTGTGTTTACCTTGTTGACATGTTTTGGCTGCTGCTGCATCTTCAGAACTGTCCCCGGTGTTGGTGGTGACGTGTCGTAGATCAGCTGTTGTTACTTCCTGTAGGCTGTGGTCAACAACGTAAACACACTTTACTGTATTGTCTTTAAAAAGAACCTAAGAAGTTAAAGTACATAAGAAGACAAAATGAACATCATTGTCTTGACTCAAAAATGCATTAGGGAATATCAATGAGGGCAAAAAAAATGTACACGTACAGTGTTGGGAAGGTGACTTTTAAAATGTAATCCCCTACAGATTACAGATTACATACACCAAAATGTAGTTTGTAACAGAATCCATTAAATTAAAGTGAGTAACGTAATCTGATTACTTTGGATTACTTGATATTGTGCTGCTTTTTAAAACAATGTGAACGTAGCAGCCACATGCTGAAAATTCTTGTTTGTTGTCTTCAAATTGTCTGTTGAGCCCAAGTCTCTATGAATAAACGACTGTTTGCTGTAGAGAATCAAAGACAAGGACATTTTAACATAAGATGTTTTGTCTGTTAAAAGACAATAACAAGATCAGTCTTTCCTTCACCATATTAAAAAATATTATTGATAGAGAAATTAGGTTTATATCAGATCACCTTAAAATTATTCAAGTCTAACCTACTGTTAGGTGTCATATTGTTTAGACCTGGTTTAGTCCTGGTTTTAGTCCTGATTTTAGTCCTGGTTTAGTCCTGATTTTAGTCCTGGTTTAGTCCTGATTTTTGACCTGGTTAGTTCTGGTTTAGTCCTAGTTTAGACCTGGTTAGTTCTGGTTTAGTCCTATTTAGACCTGGTTCAGTCCTGGTTTAGTCCTAGTTTAGTCCTGGACTGGTTTAGTCCTGGAGGGTCACAGGAGGGAGCGCGATGTACGCAGCGTACGCGAGAAAACACGGTCCACACGCGGCGCACGTGAGGACGTCTGTGTCCGCGCAGTAACTACGGAAGGAGACATGACCCGCGCGTTCTCAGGTTGATGACGATGATGAAGGTGTGTGTTTGTATCTCACGACGGGAGAAGAAATTCCAAGTCACAAATGTGTTTTTACCTGTGCACTGCTGACTCTGTTCTACTGGCTCTACGACCTCATCCATTGTGTGACTGACGCCGCCAACGTTAACATGACGTTTACATCGCTCGCGTTCTGTGTGGGTTTCCGGCAATGAGTGGGATTACCCAAATAAAAAATAAATAAATGGGAGGTAGCACAAAATGTGAAAACAGGAAAATACCGCCTTGTAATCCACTTATTTCAGCAAAGTAACTGTAATCCAATTACCACTCATTGAAACAGTAACTGTAACCGAATACAGTTACTCATAAGTTGTACTCTGATTACGTAACGCCGGTACATGTAATCTGTTACTCCCCAACACTGTACACGTACAATCATGAAATTTGACACAGAAGTCGATCAAAGGAAAAAATATTATTACGCCGACTCCGTGCGCTCCACTAGGGGGCAGTAATATTGGTACTGTGGTACTGCAGCGTAAAACCTGCCTCACGATGTGGAAACAAACCGATTGTTCTCGACCGACATTAACGTTTGGATCTCGTGGTCATGAAAGTTTTCTGTGTTTGAAGTTCTCCTGTAGAACTTAAACTGAGCACTTGAAATAATACACTAATATTCAGTGTTTTGGAGTAACAGATTACATGTACCTGAGTTACATAATCAGAGTACAAATTATGAGTAACTGTATTCAGTTACAGTTACTGTTTCAGTGAGTGGTGATTGGATTACAGTTACTTTGTTGAAATAAATGGATTACACAGAGGTATTTTCCTGTTTTCACATTTTGGGCTAAATCAGGACTAAAACCAGAACTAAACTAGGACTAAAACCAGAACTAAACTAGGACTAAACTAGAACTAAAACCAGGACTAAACCAGGACTAAACTAGAACTAAACTAGGACTAAAATCAGAACTAAACCAGAACTAAACCAGGACTAAAGCCAGCGCTAAACCAGGACTAAACTAGAACTAAAACCAGAACTAAACTAGGACTAAAACCAGAACTAAACCAGGACTAAACTAGGACTAAACCAGGACTAAACTAGATCTAAACCAGGACCTAAACCAGAACTGAACTTGGACTAAACTAGGACTAAAACCAGAACTAAACTAGGACTAAAACCAGAACTAAACTAGGACTAAAACCAGAACTAAACTAGGACTAAAACCAGAACTAAACTAGGACTAAAACCAGAACTAAACTAGGACTAAAACCAGAACTAAACCAGGACTAAACTAGGACTAAACCAGGACTAAAACCAGGACTAAACTAGAACTAAACCAGGACCTAAACCAGAACTAAACTTGGACTAAACTAGGACTAAAACCAGAACTAAACTAGGACTAAAACCAGAACTAAACTAGGACTAAAACCAGAACTAAACTAGGACTAAAACCAGAACTAAACTAGGACTAAAACCAGAACTAAACCAGGACTAAAACCAAAACTAAACTAGATCTAAACCAGGACTAAAACCAGAACTAAACTAAAAAGCACGACAATATCAGGTAATCCAAAGTATTCAGATTACATTACCCACTTTAAGTAATTTAATGGATTCTGTTACAAACTACATTTTGGTGTGTGTAATCTGTAATCTGTAGGGGATTACATTTTAAAAGTCACCTTCCCGACACTGATAATATCTTAAATACAAGTTGTAGTTTTATGTTTGGAGTTGTTGTGTGTTTTTGTGTGTTGTGTGTTTTTGTGTGTCTGACCTGTGTGTTTGTGTTTGTGTTTGTGTTTCAGGAACCTTCTCTGTTCACGGTGAAGGCCGTCTTCATCCTGGACAACGACGGAACAAGACTCCTGTCCAAGGTACTGTCCAAGTACGGAGAGAATGAGGAGAGAGAGGAAAGGTAGTGAGGAGAGATGGGAAGGAGTGAGAGAAAGGAGGTAAAGGAAGGATGAAGGAGAGAGGGAGAGGAGATGGGGGAGGAACAGATGAAGAAAAAAAAAAGTGTTGAGAGACAAACTGAAGGATGGAGAGAGGGAGAAAGGGAGAGAGACAAGGAGGATAAAGGTGGAGAGATTCTGAAGGCGTGAGGAGAGACGGAGGGAGGGATGGAGAAGATGAAGGAGAGAAAAGGGGCAAGTAGAGAGTAATGATCGGGGATTGAGTGAGAGGAAAGAGAGAGGAGAGAAGAGAAAGGGGAGAGAGGGAGAGAGAGAGAGACAAAAGGATAGAGAGGAGGGAGGAGAGAGAGAGGGGAGAGAAGAGAGAGGAAAGGGGGGTAAAGGGAGGGTGAAGGAGAGAGGGAGAGAGACAAAGTACGAGTGAGACGGGGAGAAACAGATATAGGAAGGAAAGTGTTAAGAGACAAACCGAAGGATGGAGAGAGGGAGACGCAGAGAGACAGATGAGGGAGAGAGGGAAGAGAGACAAGGAGGATAGAGGGGGAGAGAGGGGAGAGGAGAGAGGAAAGGTAGTGAGGAGAGATGGGACAGAGAGACAAGGTGGAGAGAGTATGAAGGAGTGAGGGGAGAGAGAAGGCACAGATATAGGAATAAAAGTGTTAAGAGACAAACTGAAGGATGGAGAGAGATGGAGAGAGGGAGAGAGACAAGGAGGATAAAGAGGGGGAGAGATAAGGTGGAGAGATTCTGAAGGAGTGAGGAGAGACGGAGGGAGGGATGGAGAAGATGAAGGAGAGAAAAGGGGCAAGTAGAGAGTAATGATCGGGGATTGAGTGAGAGGAAAGAGAGAAGAGAAAGGGGAGAGAGGGAGAGAGAGAGAGACAAAAGGATAGAGAGGAGGGAGGAGAGAGAGAAACCAGGACTGATCAGAGAGAGAGAGGGTAGAGAAGAGAGAGGAAACGGGGGTAAAGGGAGGGTGAAGGAGAGAGGGAGAGAGACAAAGTACGAGTGAGACGGGGAGAAACAGATATAGGAAGGAAAGTGTTAAGAGACAAACCGAAGGATGGAGAGAGGGAGACGCAGAGAGACAGATGAGGGAGAGAGGGAAGGGTGAGAGAGAGAGGAAAGAGAGACAACGAGGATAGAGGGGGAGAGAGGGGAGAGGAAAGGTAGTGAGGAGAGATTGGACAGAGAGAAAAGATGGATAGAATTTGATGGAATGTGGAGAGAAACAAGGTGAGCAAGAGGGATGGATGGAGGAGATGGAAGGGGAAGGGGAGAGGCAGAGGAGAGGGAGAGGTAGAGAGTATTGATCTGGGACAGAGTGAGAGAAGAGAAGAGAGAGAGGAAAGGGGGTAAAGGGAGGGTGAAGGAGAGAGGGAGAGAGACAAAGTACGAGTGAGACGGGGAGAGACAGATGCAGAAGAAAAGAAGAGAAGAGTGAAGAGACAAACCGGAAGGATTGAGAGATGGACGATGGAGAGAGGGAGAGAGACAAGGAGGAGAGAGGAAAGGTAGTGAGGAGAGAATTTGAAGGAGTGAAGAGAGAGAGAGAGAGAGGGAGGAGATGGAGTTCGAGTGAGACGGGGTAGAAACAGAGATGGAAAGGAAAGTGTTAAGAGACAAACTGAAGGATGGAGAGAGGGAGACGCAGAGAGACAGATGAGGGAGAGAGAGAGAGAGAGAGGAGAGAGAAACAAGGAGGTTAGAGAGGGGAGAGGAAAGGTAGTGAGGAGAGATGGGACTGAGAGAAAAAGTGGAAAGAATATGAAGGAGTGGGGGGTGGGGGGGGGGTGGGGGGGGGGGGGGAGTGAGGAGAGCGAGAGGGAGGGATGGAGGAGATGGAAGGGAGAAGGAGAGAGGGATGGAGAAAGGGTACAGATATAGGAAGAAAAGTGTTAAGAGACAAACCGAAGGATGGAGAGATGAGGAGAGAGAGACAGATGAGGAGAGAGATGAGGAGAGAGAGACAGATGAGGAGAGAGAGAGACAGATGAGGAGAGAGAGGGAGGAGAGAGAGACAGAGGAGGAGAGAGAGAGACAGAGGAGGAGAGAGGGAGGAGAGAGAGACAGATGAGGAGAGAGGGAGGAGAGAGAGACAGACGAGGAGAGAGGGAGACAGATGAGGAGAGAGAGAGAGAGAGAGAGAGAGAGAGCAGATGAGGAGAGAGGAGAGAGAGAGAGAGAGGGAGAGAGGGAGGGAGAGAGAGACAGACGAGGAGAGAGAGAGAGACAGAGAGAGGAGAGGAGAGAGAGACAGAGGAGGAGAGAGGGAGGAGAGAGAGACAGATGAGGAGAGAGGGAGGGAGAGAGAGACAGACGAGGAGAGAGAGACAGAGGAGGAGAGAGAGAGACAGAGGAGGAGACAGATGAGGAGAGAGAGAGACAGATGAGGAGAGAGAGAGATGAGGAGGAGAGAGAGAGACAGAGGGAGGAGAGAGAGACAGATGAGGAGAGAGAGAGACAGAGATGAGGAGAGAGAGAGAGAGACAGATGAGGAGAGAGAGACAGATGAGGAGAGAGAGACAGATGAGGAGACAGATGAGGAGACAGATGAGAGACAGATGAGAGAGAGAGAGAGAGAGACAGATGAGGAGACAGATGAGGAGACAGATGAGGAGAGAGAGAGACAGATGAGGAGACAGATGAGGAGACAGATGAGGAGAGAGATGAGGAGACAGATGAGGAGAGAGAGACAGAGATGAGGAGACAGATGAGAGAGAGAGAGAGAGACAGATGAGAGAGAGAGACAGATGAGGAGACAGATGAGGAGAGAGAGAGACAGATGAGGAGAGAGAGAGAGAGAGAGAGAGAGAGAGACAGATGAGGAGAGAGACAGATGAGGAGAGAGAGAGAGAGACAGATGAGGAGAGAGAGAGCAGATGAGAGAGAGAGAGAGACAGATGAGGAGAGAGAGACAGATGAGGAGAGAGAGAGACAGATGAGGAGAGAGAGACAGATGAGGAGAGAGAGAGAGAGAGACAGATGAGGAGAGAGAGAGATGAGGAGACAGATGAGGAGAGAGAGAGACAGATGAGGAGAGAGATGAGGAGAGACAGATGAGGAGAGAGAGACAGATGAGGAGAGAGAGACAGATGAGGAGAGAGAGAGAGAGACAGATGAGGAGAGAGAGAGAGAGAGGACGAAAACAACCCTCGTCTCCGTCTGTGTACTTTCACCGTGTCGCTTCAGAAAGTACCTGAGTGAAGTATTTATATTTGTATTTGTATTTGTATTCGCAGTACTACGACCCGGAGCTGTACCCGACCATGAAGGAACAGAAGAACTTCGAGAAGAACGTTTTCAACAAGACGCACAAAGCCGACAGTAGGTGGTTCACACGGGGCTCGCGTGTCGGCCCGGATTCATACGCCTCAGGGACTACTTTTTCTACTTTCTTCTTCTTTCCACCTTGTGATGTCATCTAGTGTGAGATTTACAGTTTAAAGGGCCCATATTACATTATTTTCTGATTTACGGTTTGTTTCCTCATCACAAACAGACCTGGAGTTGTGTTTTATTTCATTCACACACGTCTAACGCACAAACACTGCACATTTAGATGGAGTTCTTCTCTCGAAACACGCTGTTCCACCTTATGATGTCATCTAGTGTGAGTTTTACAGTGTAAAGGGCCCATATTTTCTGATTTAAGGTTTGTTTTCTCATCACAAACAGACCTGGAGTTGTGTTTTGTTTCATCCGCACACATTTTAACTCACAAATCCTGCACATTTAGACAGAGTTCTTCTCTCAAAACGCTCTGTTCCACCTTGTGATGTCATCTAGTGTGAGTTTTACAGTTTAAAGGGCCCATATTTTCTGATTTACGGTTTGTTGTGTGTGAATGAAACAAAACACAACTCCAGGTCTGTTTGTGATGAGGAAACGTTACATTTAAAGCACAAATGCTGCATATTTACGCAGAGTTCTTCTCTCAAAACGCTCTGTTCCACCTTGTGATGTCATCTAGTGTGAGTTTTACAGTTTAAAGGGCCCATATTACATTATTTTCTGATTGTTGTAATGTTGTTTTCTCGTCTCAAACAGAGCTGGAGTTGTGTTTTGTTTCATTCACACAAGTTTTATCACACAAACTCTGCATATTTAAGCGGAGTTGTTCTCTCAAAACACACTGTTCCACCTTGTGATGTCATCTCGTGTTAGTTTTACAGTTTAAAGGGCCCATATTTTCTGACTTACGTTTTTTTTCCTCACCACAAACAGAGCTGGAGTTGTGTTTTGTTTCATTCACACCAGTTTTAACACACAAACGCTGCACATTTAGGCGGAGTTCTTCCCTCAAAACACTCTGTTCCACCTTGTGATGTCACGTCGTGTTACAGCGAGCGCTCCGGGAAGTGTTTTTACATCATCGTTTGGCAATTCCAGAGCTGAAATGAGATTGTGTTGTTCACTTGAAAACTACAGCTTCATGACATCACAAGGTGGGACAGAGCATTTTGAGCTTTGGAGATGTGGACAGACTAATAAGAATGTAACAATAACCGAAATATCGTGATATCGTATCGTCAAAAGTCTCTCAATAATATCGTGGACCATCACAATATATTGAATTACAAGTTTTTCATCTTAAATTCATAGTTATGGTGCAGTGAAAGCTAAAAAAACAGAGGAAACTACATCGACCATGATCCTTTGCACTGAAATGAATCATGGGATATGTAGTTTTCTGTATTTATTAGCTGTTGCTGCTATAAAACAATGCATTTAAGCAAAGGAACTTGTGATTCGATATATTGTGACAGTCCACGATATTATTGTGAGACTTTTGACGATACGATATCACGATATTTCGGTTATTGTTGCATCATAATATATATCGAATCACAAGTTTTTTTGCTTAAATTTATTGTCATGGTGCAGCAATAGTTAAAAAATTAGAGGGAACTACATCGACCATGATCCTTTGCTCCGTTTTGGTGCATTTTAAGAGGAAAAAGCAGCATATTAACAGTTTTGTTCGCGACCTCCACAAAATATCGCATTAAATATCGAGAGATTTGGATATCGTTACATCCCGAACCCGAAATACTATGATCTCTTAATTTTTTCTCACATAAATCCTTTTCTCCTCTCCAGTCTCCTGTCTCCACCTTTTTCCTCTCCTTGCTCCTTGTCTCCTCTCCTCTTCTAGCTCCTCGTCTCACCTCCTAGGTCCTTATTACTCCCCTACCTCCTCATCTCCGTTCCTTCTCTCAGCTCCTCGTCTTTTTTCTCATCCTTGCCTAACTCCGTGTCTTCTTTCCTAGCTCCTCCTCTCCTCTTCTACCTTCTCGTATCCTCTCGTAGCACCTCCGCTCTTAACTACTCATCTCGCTTCCTCGCTCCTCGTCTCCTGCTCTGGCACACAGTCTCCTTGCTCCTCGTCCCCCCTCCTAGCTCCTTACTTACTCCTCTATCTCCTCATCTCCTTTCTCCCCCTCCCCAACTCCTCATCTTCTTCCTTCCTAGCTCCTCCTCTCCTATCTCACCCTAGCTCCTTCTCTCCTCCACTGCCTCCTTGTATCCTCTCCTAGCACCTCTAGTCTATCTACTCGTCTTGTTTCCTAGCTCCTCGTCTCCTCTCCTTCGTCCTTGTCTCTTCCTCTTATTCCTCAATTCCTAGCATCTCGTCTCCTAGCTCCTCGTCTCCCCTCCTAACACCTTATTTTTTTATTTCCTCTATCTCCTCACCTCCTTTCCTTTCCTCTCATCTCTCTTCTTAGCTCCTTCTCTCCTCACTACCTCCTCGTATCCTCTCCTAGCACCTCCACTCTTTAACCACTCATCTCGTTTCCTTGCTCCTTGTCTCCTCCTCTTCGTCCTTGTCTCTTCTCCTTTTTCCTCATTACCTACCACCTCGTCTCCTTGCTCCTCGTCGCCACCCCTAGCTCCTTATCTCCTCTTTTTTTTTCTCCGCATCTCCTAGCTCCTCATCTCCTCTCCTAGCTCCTTATCTCCTCGCCAAGCTCCTTGTCTCCCAGCTCTTAGCTCCTCGTCTCCTCTCCTTCGTCCTTGTCCCTTCCTCTTTTTCCTCATCACCTACCACCTCGTCTCCTCTCCTTACCCCACTCCTTACCTCCTCACCAAGCTCCTCATCTCCACTCCTCTTCCCTTATCTCCTCGCCAAGCTCCTTATGTCCTCTCCTACTTCCTCCCCTCCCAGCTCCTACCACCTTGTCTCCTTGCTCCTCATCGCCACTCCTAGCTCCTTATCTCCTCTTCTTTCTCCTCATCTCCTAGCTCCTCATCTCCTCTCATTTCCACACTTTTTTTTTGCTCCTCATCTCCTCTCCTAGCTCCTCATCTCCTCTCCGAGCTCCTTATCTCCTCGCCAAGCTTCTTATGTACTCTCCTAGTTCCTCCCCTCCCAGCTCTTAGCTCCTCCTCTCCTTCGTCCTTGTCCCTTCCTCTTTTCCCTCATCACCTAACACCTCGTCTCCTAGCTCCTCGTCTCCACTCGTCTCTCCTTATCTCCTCGCCAAGCTCCTTATGTCCTCTCCTAGTTCCTCCCCTCCCGGCTCCTGAAGCTCCTCGTCTCCTCTCCTCCCTGTCACTCTATCCCCTCCCTGCCCATCCCTCCTTTGTCCGCGCACACATTCTATCCCCGTAGCTCCTAATCTGGTGTCCTACCTGGCGTCTCACCTTTCCTTTTGTGCTCCCTCGCCGGCAGTAACCGTAGTCTCATTGTGGTCCGGACTTTTTGACAGGAAATACTCCGAAGACAATGAGAGACGAGGAGTTTAACGCCGGGCCGGGTTAGTTTTGGTTCTTCTGGGGGGCCGTTAATTTAAAGATAAACTATTTCTTGTTACGGCTGAGAGTCGGGTCGAGTTTCGTGTCATTAAATACGATCGAAAAAGAACCGGGGTGATTTTGAAGATTTAAATGTTGTCAAGAAATTATTTAAATCAAAGCTTATTTTTTCCACATTTTCCACATGAGTCTCCTGGTCTCCTCTCTGAGCTTCTGGTCTCCTCTTCTACCTTCTCCAGTCCTAGCACCTTCTCTCCTAGTTTCTCTTTTCCTCTCCTAGCTCCTCCTCTCTACTGCCTCCTTTCCTCTCTTAGCTCATAGTCTACTCTCCTAGCTCCTCCTCTCCTAGCTCCTCCTCTCCTAGCTCCTCCTCTCTACCTCCTCCTCTCTTTGCTCTTTCTCTCCTAACTCCTTCTCTCTAGTGCCTCCTTTTCTCTCTTAGCTTCTGGTCTCCTCTCCTATCTTCTCCTCTCCTAACTCCTCCTCTCCTACCTTCTCCTCTCCTAACTCCTCCTCTCTAGCACCTCCTTTCCTCTCTTAGCTTCTGGTCTCCTCTCCTAGCTCCTCCTCTCGTCTAGCTCCTTCTCTCCTAGCTCCTCCTCTCCTAGCTCCTTCTCTCCTAGTTCCTCCATTGCTCTCGTATCTTCTTTTCTCTCCTATCTCCTCCTTTCCAAGCATTTTCTCTCCTAGCTCCTCCTCTCTAGCTTCTACTGTCCTACCGCCTTCTCTCCTAGCACCTTCTCTTCTACATTCTCCTCTCCTACCTCCTAGTTCCTCCTTTCTTCTCGTATCTTCTCCTGTCCTTTCCTAGCTCCTTCTCTCTAGCTTCTCCTCTACCACCTCCCCTCCTAGCTGCTTCTCTCTATAGTTCCTCGCTTCCTCTCATATCTTCTCCTGTTCTGTCCTGGTTCCTCCTTTCCTCTTTTAGCTTCTGGTCTCCTCTCCTACCTCCTCCTCTCCTAGAACCTCATCTCCTAGCTCCACGCCTCTAGTGCTCCTTTCCTCTCTTAGCTCCTGGTCTCCTCTCCTACCTTCTCCTCTCCCAGCCCCTTCTCTCCTAGTTCCTCCTTTCCTCTCATGTCTTCTCCTGTCCTTTCCTAGCTCCTCCTCTCTCTATCTTCTCCTCTCCTCCCTTCTCCTCTCCTCGAACCTCATCTCCTTGCTCTGGTGCTTCTTTCCTCTCTTAGCTCCTGGTCTCCTTTCTCTCTTATCTCTTCCTGTCCTCTCTTACCTTTTTGTCTCCTGCACCAGTTCCTTATCTCCTTTCCTTTGTCCTTGTCTCCTCAACTTTCTCCTCCTCTTCTCTCGAGTAAGTTGAAGATCCTGGTGTGATATCTGGATCTAGACATCTTCATGAAGTAAATGTGATTAGATTTTTTCATTTTTTATTTTGTGTGAGGACCACGGAACACAGAAATAAACACATGAAAAATTGGGAGAGTAGTGACGGCGCCCCCTGTGTGTTGCAGATGAGATCGCGTTCCTGGAGGGCATGACCATCGTGTACAAGAGCAGCATCGACCTGTTCTTCTACGTGGTCGGCAGCGCGCAGGAGAACGAGGTACGGACGCTAAAGACCCACTACGGGACATTTACACTGGAAAAACACACTAAAGCCACACTACGGGACATGTTCACACACACACACACTAAAGTCACTCTAAGGGACATGCACACACACACACTAAAGTCACTCTAAGGGACATGCACACTACACATACTAAAGTCACTCTAAGGGACATGCACACTACACACACTAAAGTCACTCTAAGGGACATGCACACACACACACACACACACACTAAAGTCACTCTAAGGGACATGCACACACACACACACACACTAAAGTCACTCTAAGGGACATGCACACCACAGACACTAAAGACACACTAAGGGACATGCACACTACACAAACTAAAGACACAGTAAGGGACATGCACACTATACAAACTAAAGACACACTAACGGGACATGCACACTATACAAACTAAAGCCACACTACGGGACATGCACACTATACAAACTAAAGACACAGTATGGGACATGCACACTATACAAACTAAAGACACAGTATGGGACATGCACACTACACAACACTAAAGACACACTAAGGGACATGCACACTATACAAACTAAAGACACAGTATGGGACATGCACACTATACAAACTAAAGACAACAGTATGGGACATGCACACTACACACACTAAAGACACACTACGGGACATGCACACTACACACTACACAAACTAAAGACACAGTACGGGACATACACACTACACAAACTAAAGACACAGTACGGGACATGCACACTACACACACTAAAGACACACTACGGGACATGCACACTACACAAACTAAAGACACACTACGGGACATGCACACTACACACACTAAAGTCACTCTAAGGGACATGCACACTACACACACTAAAGTCACTCTAAGGGACATGCACACACACACACACACACACACACACACTAAAGTCACTCTAAGGGACATGCACACACACACACACACACACACTAAAGACACACTACGGGACATGCACACTACACACACTAAAGACACACTACGGGACATGCACACTATACAAACTAAAGACACACTACGGGACATGCACACTACACAAACTAAAGACACACTATGGGACATACACACTATACAAACTAAAGACACACTACGGGACATTTAAAAGGATAATTCTGACAGACTTGTGTGTTTTGTGTGTTTTGTCGTAGCTGATGCTGATGTCGGTGCTCAACTGTCTGTTCGACTCGCTCAGCCAGATCCTCAGGTTTGTCCCCGACTCGCACGTTTAAACTGTCGCACACTTTTCCCACTTTTATTGTGTCCAGATGAAATGACCCCCGTCCTCCCCGTGTGCGGACTCGTGCGTGGACTCATGTGCGTTTGTGCGTGTTTGTGTCACATGTCCGCCGTACTTATTAAACGGTGCGATCCGCGAGTGTGTCAAATGCAACACAAACTCTGGACGCGGCTCTGTGTTGAAGGACTCCGCGGTGAATGATTGACAGGGACTTTATGATTGACATGTGAGTAGCACCTGCTCACTTTGGGCACACGGAAAAGATACGCCCAAATAACAGGCACTAGAGTTCATTTCATTTTAAAATTTAACCATGTGTGTGCCTTTAAAGCTTTGACCCATATACCAAAACCACTTTTTATTCCGTTAACCTTTCACTGGCCACGTTTACATGATGTTTTTTAATTCCGAATTAATAGTTCTTTGGCCGTGTCCGCACTAGTTCGTATTTGATTCGTTTTCATTGTGGATGCAGTGTTCGTCCACATTAATCCGATTTGAAAACGCTCCAGAGACGGAATGATCTGGTGCCTCCAGCTCCTACGAATTCATCTGAGCACAGATCTGATCCGACACCGTGTGGACACCTGAAAACGCTGATACTCTGATGTAGGTCTGTGCGCCGCGAAGTAATTCACCGCCAAAACGCTAAGAGGCTAGAATATATGTTCCATTCATATAAACGTGTGTCTGTGTGTACGACCTGCAGACGTATAATCTCTGAAAAGTTTAACATGAACCATCTCCAACACGACAGAAACACAGAACAGACTCACCATCAGCAGAACATCCCTCTGTCACAGAAAGAACACTCATATTCCACTGACGGCATCAGCGCACAAGGAACGAGCTGTTTTTTTTTTTTATCTTAATTTAACAAATATGTGCAAAACTGTGTGGATAATGAAGGCTTGCGGACACAAAAACGACGTGTCTGGACGCAGATCGTTTCCGATACGGTGATACAGATGATTCGTTTCAGTATAGACGTAACCTTCGAGTTCACATGGAAATAATAATTCCGAATTGAGGTTTACATGGAAAACACGTTAAACTGCCTTTATTTAATCAACGTCTGGGGGTGGGGAAGGGTTCTGATTGGACAGAGGCGCGAACGTATTTACTTCGACCGGAAGAAAACACACACTTCAGCTGCTACGGGCTTTTCTGTCACCTCGGTTTGTCGTTACGCCGCGGACACAAACATGATCCAAACTTTTGTCGCAGTCGTTCTGATGATAATTGCGCAGCAGTTTGACAATTCTCTCATCGCGCTTTACATGTCGGTTGAGGAGGAGAAGGGAAGAGTGTTGGAGAAGGGAGGAAGAAGACAAACTGAGTCTGAGGCTGCTCTGCGTCGGCCCACTCCCGCATCCCGCTCACAAATCCAAAGAGACGTGGATGAAAGTCCGAAGTCAGAACTGGTGGAGCCGGATCGTTCAGATTTTTGCGGCGAACATTTTGTACGTGGAGCGCCAACAAAGCAAAACCCAGATCCCTCGCTCAACCTCGGTTACGAATTTAAAAAGTCAACGCCAAAGCGAAAGGCACCAACTGTTCACCAAGAAACACCTTCCACTGCAAAGAGACCAAGACGTGACGTTGCTGTAAAACCACAAGAACAAGAAAGTGCAGCTCAGTCTGTTTGTCTTCTGCTCCTCTTAACACCTTCTTAATAAACAGGATTTTGCTTTGTTGTCGCTCCACATACAAAATGTTCGCTGCAAACTCGGGATGATTTCTTAGGCAGTCAAAGGTTTCCTTTTTGGTTCTTCCTGTGGATCAGTCCTGCCCATCACCTTCACCTTTCATTGAATTCTCCGGTCCTTCTCGTCAGTTGATTGACAGAACAGGGCCACTTCAGGAGCCAATCAGATTAGAGGAGGGGCCGGAGCCTTTGTAGCCCCTCCCCTAGAACCATCCCTGGCTGCGAAGTACGTCTCAATCCATCCAATCTTGGCTGCGACTCTGCATCCACATGTTCCTTTTTTTTTACGGACGTTGGTGCCACTGCCCCACAAAACGCCAAACGCCAAAAACCTCGTCCTTCTCCTTCTCAATTTCCTCCTTAAAACAAATAAGCTGTACCTGTTCTGGCTCCGGTACAACAGTGACTTTAAAATCTCCAGGTGCGTCCGTGTTTAGGAGTCTTCCGTAAACTTGTGACGTTGTGTCCTTCAATGCATATTCACGACACTTTTGGGGCGTTCAAAGTTCACACTGGAGATCACAAACAAGTCGCATTTAATTGGAGATGTGAAAGACCTCGCAAAAAAATCCGAATCGAGCATTAAACCCTGCACTCTGAACATTGCCTTCTTCACCGGGATGGAGCTCACGTTTTTTCCCCTGACAACAATATACAAAAAATAAATAAATAAATAAAAAATGCACACCTTAATGCTAAAGATCTCCAAATCCTCTTACAGTACTCGCTCCGATCGTACAAAACACGCAGTTATACTCCCAGTACCGCGCTGGATTACTACCATTATCAGGCCCGCGCGGTCGCCATGGTAACGGATGCAAAGGGGAGCCACAGCGCCGGGCGACAGCGTGGATTTAAAGTTTCATTGTGGGATATGTAAATGACAGGATCCTAATATAATACGGAGTTTAAAATGAAAAAAGAGGTTATGAGTCTGCGGGACGTTACAAAAGCTGTAATATCTGCGGCGTCGATATGCAAATTTTTACGAAGACAAATCTGAATATATGAATTTTTTTTGCACGGAAATCGAGCGCTCGAGTTACAACATGTGCCCTGTTTTGAAATGCTAATAAACGATTATATTTGTGTACAGTTAAAGGTGCGCAGTGTGGCTTTTTTAGAGGAGAGTCCGCCACCTGCTTGTCTCCATGACGATGAGAACATTCCACATTATGGCATCGAAGTGTCTGGTTTTTACTACCTTAAAAACATAAATAAAAAATAAATTAAATATATAAAATAAATAAAAAATAAAATAATAAAATTAATATTAATACATTTAAATAAAATAAAAAAATAATACAGAATAAAATTAATTAATTAATAAAAAATAAATAAATAATAAAAATTTTCAAATTTAATAAGACAGTTCATTTTTAAAAGTTTGTAGTGGTCCAAAGTTCTTCATTACAACCTTATACATTCTAAACATTTTATTTCTTCACCACGATGAGTTTTTAAGCACTTTTTACAACTTTCAGACACCAGAGCCGAGGTTCACTGTAACAGTACAGCAACTAGCATGCTAACATATATTACTTCCTGATTCTCAAACAATAAAACTCTTTATTATTAAAGGCTGTGCAATTATTTTTTCCACTAAGCCACATGAGAAACAGAAAATATTGTGGAGGTCCGGGCCAAAATGCTTAACTCAATTCTGCGTAATATTAATTGTATTTCTTTATAAAAAGCAGAAAATATAATTGTTTCGACGAGCTGCTCAGACTGGTAAGAGTTTATGTTATGACAAAGCAGTGAAAAAGTGAGGTTGTCCTACAAAAATGTAATTTAAAAATCACCTCTAAATTAAAAGCAATGCAGCTTTAGTCTAGTCTGATTCATCAGCCGGTTTCACTTCATAGAAACCGTGTGACCTCGTGTTAGAATTCATTCGCTCGACGGTAGGCGGGTACTTTTTTTGATTTAACCAATCGCTGCTATTTGGTCGTGACGTATGTAATGCGTCTCTAATGGGACTAACTGGTATATTAAGCTTTTCCCAAATCCCGTAGGAAGAAGGACAATAACGTCTTTCCCCTTGATAAAATTCACCAAACATTCTCTTTGTTCCGGCTTTAAATCTTCGATCTCGGGAATCGTCGCCAACACAGAATGTCTGTCTCTTCGCTGATTGGCTGGTGCCCGAACTCGCACTTCCGGGTTTTTTCGCGAACCGTCTAGTGTATTCTGATTCTTGACATAGTCGCTGAAGAGAAATGAAATTGAGCGGAGGCACTAGGTGGCGCCAGGCTGGTTAGCTTTAGTCCGTGCATGAGGTAAAATTATACAACATGTTTCTTTTGTAATTACAAATAATCTTAAAATCAGAGTCAAACAAAGGGCCGCGTGTGTCCTGGGAGCTGCACAATGCTCAGGTCTGATATAATTAGATGCAGACACAATGGATTTTATATCTATTCCGCTCTCCTTGCGTGTTTCTAACACAATTTAGCGGTGAGCGTAACTCCTTTTTGGAAACATGCGCAGAGTCACGATATAGCGTCCATAGCTCCAGTTTATTTCTCCACAAAGGTTCCAAAAACAGAGTAAAACTGCAAAACAGAAAAAGCTGCATTTAGCACAGTGTAAAATATAACAGAGGTTAGCTTAACTACAAGCTACTACACCATATGATACTTAATCTTCAATAAAAATACATTTCTAATAACCATCCGTAACAAATAAAGCAAGGATATTATACTTCTTATCTGCATAAAAAACAACTTACAGTGAGGTCAAAGGCACGAACAAAAAGGCAGATGTTAAAGGATGAACACATGTGCTGCTCAGGGCAAACAAAAACAACATAAGGCTGACTTCCTGTCATGACTTCCTGTCTCTAAAGAGACCTCCAAAATAAAAGACAGGCAGCAGCAAATGCAATCTACTGGTAAAAACAACTGTATAAAACAACATCCCAAACATTTTTAGGGCAAAACAATATCTGTATTGGGTATCTGTGTAGACACGACCCCGGTCATAGTGGTTCACATGTATTTTTGAGCAGTAAATACACTTGTAAATGTTTCAGTACCAATTTCAGGATAACGTTAGTTTTGCTCAGTAGTTCACTAATGCACCATCTTCATTCTCCTTTGTTTTGGTCTTTCTTCCCTTGATAGTTGTGGATAAAGGCAAGGCAAGTTTATTTGTACAGCACAATTCGTACACAAAGTAATTCAAAGTGCTTTACAGAATAAGAAATACATTAAAATCATAATAAAAACAAATCAACACATAAATAATCATGAAGATTAAAATTAAAAAAAGAGAGACATAAATTGGAGAGAAGAGTGCGGAATGAAAACCTTTCAGTTATAAGCACAGTTAAACAGAAATGTTTTGAGCCTGGATTTAAACAGCGTCACAGAAGAAATAAATTGTTCATGTTAGAATGTTTATCCTTTGTGGACCTTGTTGGTTGAAGATTTGGTGACGGGGCAGATTTATGAAACTGCTGGAAAATACGACGCACATTTTGACACAGAAAACCATTAACCGGAAGTAAAAAACGTTGTTGCTTCTGTGCGAAATTCCGGCTGACGTGAGTAAATGTCCCGTAGGAAAAACGTGGAGCGGCGTTGTCTGCTGGACAACATGGAGGGCGTGTTCCTGGTGGTGGACGAGATCATCGACGGAGGGTGAGACCAGATTTACGGATTTGTCTTTTTGTTTTGTTTTTACTTGTGTCGCAAATACGTGAGTTAGTGAGCTGTACTTTCTGCTGACTGAGTTTGTGTGATTTCAGGGTGATTCTGGAGTGTGATCCTCAGCAGGTTCTACAGAAAGTCAACTACAGAGTAAGACTTTTACAACTCCTCGTGTCTGTCCGTCTGTGAACACGTGTCATTATTGTAAAGCCGAGTGTCCACTGTACGATTTTGTCCATTCGCGACGAAAGATTTCTGATCGCGGGGGAAGTCTTGAGTCTTGAGTCGCAGCTAAAAATCGTGGTACGTCAGAGTTGAAAAAGATCAAACTTAGAACCACCGTACGAGCAAAGACGAGCTGATTTCAGAGTCCTGGAGGGGTTTTCCATGAAGCGAGCGAAAGTGAAAGTCTGGCTTATTTGGAAATCCGTGTGTCGTTCGTTCGTTTTTCAATATAAAACCAAAAAAAAAAAAAAACGAAAAACAAATTTTTTTCATTGTTTGTTTCCAAAACCAAAATGAAAAAAAAAAAACAAAAAAAAAACGGATAATGGTTTGTTTTTTCAGTTTTAGATTTTGTGTTTAAATGAAAAATGGAAAAAAACTGAAAACGACCCGTTTACATGACTTAAACTGTGATGCCGGACTGAATCAGGACTGAACCAGGACTAAACCAGGACTAAACCAAGACTAAAACAAGACTAAAAACTAAGGACTAAAACAAGACTTAAACCAGGACTAAACCAGGACTAAACCAGGACTAAAACAAGACTAAACCAGGACTAAAACAAGGACTAAAAACTAAGAAGACTAAAACGGAAATAAACCAGAACTAAAACAAGACTAAACCAGGACTAAAACAAGACTAAACCAGGACTAAACCAGGACTAAACCAGGACTAAACCAGGACTAAACCAGGACTAAAACAAGACTAAACCAGGACTAAAACAAGACTAAACCAGAACTAAAACGGAACTAAACCGGAACTAAACCGGAACTAAACCAGAACTAAAACGGAACTAAACCAAAACTAAAACGGAACTAAACCAGAACTAAAACGGAATTAAACCAGAACTAAAACAAGACTAAACCAGGACTAAAACAAGACTAAACCAGGACTAAAACAAGACTAAACCAGGACTAAACCAGGACTAAAACAAGACTAAACCAGGACTAAAACAAGACTAAACAGGACTAAACCAAACTAAACCAGGACTAAAACCAGGACTAAAACAAGACTAAACCAGACTAAAACAAGACTAAAACAAGACTAAACCAGGACTAAACTAAACCAAGACTAAACCAGGACTAAAACAAGACTAAACCAGGATAAAACAAGACTAAACAGGACTAAAACTAAAAACAAGGACTAAAAACTAGGACTAAACCAGGACTAAACCAGGACTAAAACAGGACTAAACCAGGACTAAACCAGGACTAAACCAGGACTAAAACAAGACTAAACCAGGACTAAACCAGTGTTGGTCCAGAAGTGCGCCCTCGTAGACTGTTGGGTGATCAGAACTGAAACTGGGACCAGATCAGGACTGAGACCAGGACTGAGACCAGTTTAGTCTTGTTTTAGTCTTAGAGTTAGAGGCCTAATAGCCCGGAAAATACGGTAGTTTGCATTGTGTAGTCCCGCTCCCGCCTGTGCCACAATGAGCTTTCAAAATGTGTCCCGCGCCGCACTGTTTTACGTCGGGTCCCGCGGGAGGAGTGCAGCGCTCTAGTGTGCGCTGTGGCTCCTTTCTCGTTTAGTCAGATCATAAAAAGCGTCAAAATTTTGTCCCGTGATCCAGGCCTGAATTTGCTTCAGTTAGACTCAGGCTTATTTCTGTCCAGTCTTTGTGGCCAACAGTAAACACAAGCGCTCCTCAGAAGACCTCCGCCGTGAACTCTCCCCGCTTCTCTTTCATTTACTCACTTTTACAAACGCGAAAACACCACGGGCATGTCACAAAAGCCTCATCTAACCTTTGTCATCTACGCGAAGCCTGATATTCACTCAGACAAACTTCAGTCGTCGTCAATTCAACATCTGGCTTGTCTTGTGTCTGCCGCCCTCTGCTGGCGGTCGTGGGGAATGCAGCATGTTGAAAAAGGCAAAAAGCGGCAAAGCTAAATTTTAACGACACGATGCTGCGGGTTGACGCTTCACCGGGGGCAGCTGGAGGAGTGTGGACTTTAAAAAACACAAAGAAGCTCTGTTCATTCTCTCCCATCTGCCCTCACGTTTCCCCATGTCCTCTCACCTGGTTCCTCCATCTCTCTCTTTCTCTTTCTTTCTCTTTCTTTTCCTCTCCTCTCCCTCCTCGTCCGTCGTCTGTCAGCAAGTGACGGAGTCGGGCTACGGCTTCGTGCTCTTTGACTACATCACCGGCAGCGTGGAGGGGCAGAGCGAGAGGAACCAGCTGCTGTAGGGGCCCCGGGGGGGACGCGAGGGGGACGTGAGGGGGTGAGACAGAGGCAGGGTGAGGGGCACGGGGGGGGTGCAGGTAACGCATGAGTGTGAGGACTAACCTGGACTCTACCAAAGAGTGGACTTGCAGTGAAAAAATTCAGGTAGAGCGATTTTTTTTTTTGAGTGAATATTCAACAGCGACGGCTCAAACTAGAAAGTCCTGTCTGTGCATGTTGTTGTTTCCATCAGCAAGACACTTTAACCCATTTAACTACATGTCAATGTGGTGTTTAGATGCAGTTTGGCAGTGACACATGTATCCGTTTGGGTTGCTGGTTCAAAACTCACCATAGTGCTTAGTTTTGTGTTTGGAAACTCATAACATGTACTGTACTTTAAACCAGTATGACATTTGCAGTGTGATCTGAAATTTCCTGTATTTTTTTTTTTTATTAATATATTTATTTAATTGTATTGTTGCAATTTTTTTTCTTTTTTAAATGTTTTATTTTTTATTTTTTCATTCATTCATGTATTTATTTACTTATGTATTGTATTTATTTGTATTAATTTTTATTTATTGTATATTTTCCAATTTTTTTCTTTTTTTATATGGCTTATTATTTTTTATTAATTAATGTATTTATTTGTATTGAATTTATTTGTATTTATAATTAATTTCTGATTTGTGCTTTCTGTTTTTTCTTTTTTCATTTTTTTTTTCATTTTTCTTTTATGTCTTATTTATGTTTTTTATTTTGTTATTTTTTTAATTAATTAATGTATTTATGTGTATTATATTTATTTCAGATTTTTTTCATTAATTTTTTAAAATATGTTTATTTATATTTTAGTTTTATTTATTTTATTTATGAATGTATATATTTATTTTTATTGTATTTATTTCAGTTTTATTTCATTTTTTTAAATTAATATTCATTTATTTAATTTTTTTTTTTTTTAACATTTGTTATTAATGTATTTATTTATTTCTATTGTATTTATTTCTGATTTCTGTTTTGTTTTTCCTGCAGGCGGACGAAAACCCTTTATCAGAACAGAGCGTCACACAGGTACAGAACTCACCTCAGTTACACACATTTACCACCAGGTGTCAGTACTAGTTTCCCATAACAATTTAGAGTTTTCATTTCATTCTTGACCACTTTTTAATCTTCTTTTACTCAACACTGAACTCCTGAACTCAAGCAAGCGTTACTCACACGCACTATGATATAAGCCGATTTTTATTCATAATAAACCGCAGTATTTATCTGAAACGACTTGATAACACAAACGGTGCATTGACTTCCTGTTCCAAACTCCAGATCTGATAAGCTGCACCTTTCACAGCAGCACACAGACAAAGACGCTTTTTATATTCACAGCTTTAATTCTGATACAAGTTGCGCAAGTCTTGGGTTTTTTTTGTTTTTTTTGTTTTTTTTTTTTTAACTCTCCTGCTGCTTCCTCTTTGTTTCTAAAGCGTTTGAGTGTCCAAAAAAGCACTATAAAAGTCAATAATTTAATAAAGTCAAGTCATTTTTTGCCCTCATAAAACTCAGTTCATACAGAGGGGTGGGTGGAGATAGGTGGTAGGTGAAAACTGAACATTTCTAAGAGCTCAAGCCTCAAATGCAGGATAATACAGCGTTACTCGAACGTGCATGAGGGTCAGTCCATCCAGTCCTCATCTGAGATCTCAGATTTGGCTGAAAAAATGTCAAAAAATTTCTAAAATTACCAAATGAAAGATAACTTCATAGAAAATTTGTATTATTGTAGATTTTAGAACCTTTCTTCAGGTGGAGAAGTCTCTAAGCTTCACCAAAAATTACCCGTGAGCTCATTTTTAAAAATTCCATTTAATATGAAGGAAGTTAAAAGTAGATGTTTTGATTCCTTTAAACTCATCAGAATATGCCAAAGTTTCTCTGGTAAAAATTTTGATCAACATATCTGTGTCCCACGTGGGGAACCGAAGGCTCCAAAGAAGGGGCCAAAAAGATCATATTTGGTCTGTGACTCTACACCGTCCACATGAAAACTCAGAAAAGTGTCAGATTGTTGTCAGAAATGATCATTCTCTCAAATATTCACCATAGTAAATATCTGCTTGGAGTAAATAGATCTTGGACCTCAAAAATTGGAAAAAAAAAAATTTAGCGGGGCAACAAAATGTGAGATTTTGGGGGCCAACAGTGCCAAACTTAATAAAGATACACAATATTTGACAACAGATTTAGAATCTATGACCAAGAATCTACAAAAATACAAATTTTCAGCTTCCTCGCTCTATTTTTGATGAAGTTCTGGTCTCTCAAACATGTTTACAAATTAAAGCTTCAAAAACAGTGAGCATGACCCCAAAATTTCAACGGGCCGTAACTCAGGAACGACTCAAGGGATTGAGCTAAAATTTGAGATTCTTTCATTTGGTGATTTTAGAAATTTTTTGATTTTTTTTTCAGCCAAATCTGAGCTGGCTCATTGGGGAGATTCCGTGAAAACCGCTGATTTCATATGGACTGACCCATGAATCAAATTACAACGTTAAGTGCACCAATAATGAGAGTACAACAGCACGACCAAAAACTCATGAAAGGGCATTTTATTTGAGATTCATACTCAAATTTAAAAAAAAAAAAAGGAAAAAATATCAAGTAAACATTTTCCAACCGTAAAAAAACTTCAAATCTGCTGCTTTTACGACGAAACGCGACTATGAAGAGACGAGACTCAAAGAATGTTTCCATTTCGAAGCCGTTTCAGATCAATTTTGTGTTTTTTCAGTGAATAAAATGTAAAATAAACGACCTTTGCGTGTTCTAGTTTCATTCTAAACACCTCAGAAATCGCACGATACGTCTCCTTTAACGTGTTTATTAGTGGAAAGAAACTCATTTATGTGACACATTTGACATTTTCACTGTTTTTTGTTTTTTCATACTAACGTCATGTAAAGTGTAGAAGAAATTTCCGTTTTCACCTATCCCCTGTCTCCGCCCACTTTTATATTTGAGATCCAATGCTTAAAAAGTCAAAAAATATCAAGTAAACATTTTCCAACCTTAAAAAAAAACATCAAATCTGCTGCTTTTTATGACGAAACACGACTGTGAAGCGATGACGCTTATTATTATTTCTGCGATTTGGAACAGGAAGTCATTTTAAAGCCGTTTTTAGATCAATATTGTGTTTTTTCGGTGAATAAAATGTAAAATAACGACCTTTGCGTGTTCTAGTTTCATTCTAAACACCTCAGAAATAGAATAATACGTCTCCTTTAACGTGTTTATTAGTGGAAAGAAACTCGTTTATGCGACACATTTGACATTTTCACTGTTTTGACGATTAAAATTGGCGTTCTTTTCATACTAACGCCATGTAAAGTGTAGAAGAATTTTCCGTTTTCACCTATCCCCTATCTCCGCCCACTTGTAATTTGAGATTCATACTTAAAAAAGAGTAACAAAAAAACAAAGTAAACATTTTCCAGCCATGAAAAATAATAAAAATCTGCAGCTTTTTTACGACATAACGCGACTATTGAAGAGACCAGGTTTATTTCCGTTTTCACCTATCCCCTATCTCCGCCCACTTTTTATTTGAGATTCATACTTAAAGGAAAGTCAAAAAACAAAGTAAACATTTTCCAACCATAAAAAATAATAAAATCTGCAGCTTTTTACGACGAAACGCGACTATGAAGAGACCAGGTTTATTTCCGTTTTCACCTATCCCCTGTCTCCGCCCACTTTTAATGTGAGATTCATACTTAAAGGAAAGTCAAAAAAACATAAAATAAACATTTTCCAACCTTAAAAACTTCAAATCTGCTTCTTTTTACGACGAAACGCGACTATGAAGAGACGAGCTTTATTATTATTTCTGCGATTTGGAACAGGAAGTCATTTTAAAGCCGTTTTTAGATCAATATTGTGTTTTTTCGGTGAATAAAATGTAAAATAACGACCTTTGCGTGTTCTAGTTTCATTCTAAACACCTCAGAAATAGTGTTTATTAGTGGAAAGAAACTCGTTTATGCGACACATTTGACATTTTCACTGTTTTTGGCGTTTTTTTCATACTAACGTCATGTAAAGTGTAGAAGAAATTTCCGTTTTCACCTATCCCCTATCTCCGCCCACTTTTATTTGAGATCCACACTTAAATGAAAGTCCAAAAATATCACGTAAACATTTTCCAACCATAAAAAAACATCAAATCTGCTTCTTTTTACGACGAAACGCGACTATGAAGAGATGACGCTTATTATTATTTCTGCGATTTGGAACAGGAAGTCATTTTAAAGCCGTTTTTAGATCAATATTGCATTTTTTCCGTGAATAAAATGTAAAATAACGACCTTTGCGTGTTCTAGTTTCATTCTAAACACCTCAGAAATAGAATAATACGTCTCCTTTAACGTGTTTATTAGTGGAAAGAAACTCGTTTATGCGACACATTTGACATTTTCACTGTTTTGAAGATTAAAATTGGCGGTTTTTTTTATACTCACTTTTTATTTGAGATTCATACTGAAAAGAAAGTCCAAAAATATCACGTAAACGTTTTCCAACCATAAAAAAACTTCAAATCTGCTGCTTTTTACGACAAAACGCAACTATGAAGAGACCAGGTTTATTTCCGTTTTCACCTATCCCCTGTCTCCGCCCACTTTTTAATGGAGATTCATTCTTAAAAAAAAAGTAAAAAAGCATCACGTAAGCATTTTCCAGCCATGAAAAAACATCAAATCTGCTTCTTTTTACGACGAAACGAGACGAGCTTTATTATTATTTCTGCGATTTGGAAAAGGAAGTCATTTTAAAGCTGTTTTTAGATCAATATTGTGTTTTTTCGGTGAATAAAATGTAAAATAACGACCTTTGCGTGTTCTAGTTTCATTCTAAACACCTCAGAAACAGAATAATACGTCTCCTTTAACGTGTTTATGAGTCTGAATTCCCACAGCCTGATGTATGGGAAGAGAGAAACTCGCCCTTTCGCGTTTCTCGTTCTTGCTGTTAACGCTCTGCCTGTTTCGACGTGTTCACCGCTCAAAGCGCCCGCGCGCCGTCGGAGTGGTTATGGCGCATAGTTTGAATGCTAATTTATGGCTTATGGTAAAACATAACGTTCGCGGGGCAGTTTGGAGACGCGGGAGGGAGCGGAAAAAAACGGCGTCAGACTCGTTTTAGGACGGGAAAAATTGCGACGTTTCTGGTAAACACACTCGGACGGCTTTTGGATTTATGCTTTTAAAATCGGAATTCGGTTCAGTGTAAATTTGAAACCTGTCAAAAAGAGTTCGTATAAAAAGAGTTTGAGACGAGACTGAACTCTGAAATTGCTGGAATAATAAAATGAATCCCGTGTACGTGTTTGTACTCTGCAAAAAAGCTGCAAAACGTAAGATATAAACACTTAAATCTGTCCGAAAATTACTTAAAAATAGTCAAATTATCTGTCCACGCGAGATCATTTTACATTTTAACGACCTCTAGACTTTAAAAAATGAGAACTTCGCAGGTCAGTTCCTTGGAGAAGAAGGAGCAGCCCGAGAATTTAAAGAAAAATCCCGCACAACGTCTTAACATGCAAATTGTGAGATTTATTAGAACAAAACTGTGCAGCGTTTCGGCGCTAGATTTTCATCAGACGAGAATTAAAACAGACTCAGAACTAGAAAGTAGAAAATAAATCTGAAAACAAGTTAAATAACCCGATATAAGTTTGAAAATGTTGTTCAGATTAGAGAAGTTTGCAGTGAACCGCAAAAAAATCCAGGTCTACACCAGGTCTGAACTGAGACTAAATAACAGGACTAAACCAGGTCTAAAACTGTGTCTTAAACTGTGACTAAACCAGGACTAAACCCAGACTAAAATAGGACTAATCCAGGTCTAAACCAGGACTGAATCAGGACTAAAACTAGGACTAAAACAGAACTAATCCAGGACTGAACCAGGTCTAAAACGGGCCTAAACCAGGACTGAACCGGGCCTAAACCAGGACTAAAAGAGGACTGAATCAGGACTGAACCAGGACTACACCTGATCTAAATTAGGACTAAACCAGGACTAAACCCAGACTAAAATAGGACTAATCCAGGTCTAAACCAGGACTGAATCAGGATATAAACAGAACTATTCCAGGACTGAACTGGGACTAAAACAGGACTAAACCAGGTCTTAAACCAGGTCTTAAACCAGGTCTGAAACCAGGTCTAAAACCAGGTCTAAAACAAGACTAAACAGAGATTAATCCAGGACTGAATCATGACTGAAACTGATCTAAACCCGGACTAAACCCAGACTAAAATAGGACTAAACCAGGACTGAACCAGGTCTAAAAGGGGCTTAACCCAGGACTGAACCGGGCCTAAACCAGGACTAAAAGAGGACTGAATCAGGACTGAACCAGGACTAATTAGGACTAAACCAGGACTAAACCCAGACTAAAATAGGACTAAACCAGGTCTAAACCAGGTCTAAAACTAGACTAAAACTAGACTAAAAAGAGACTGAATCAGGACTAAATCAGGTCTAAATCAGGTAAATCAGGTCTAAACAGGTCTAAACCAGGTCTAAACCAGGTCTAAACTAGGTCTAAACTAACTAGGACTACTAGGACTAAACTAGGACTAAACTAGGACTAAACCAGGACTAAAACAGGAACTAAAACAGAGCTAAAATAGATCTAATCCAGGACTAAAACCAGGACTAACTAAACTTGGACTTGAGAGAGAGAGAACTGTTTTAGTCCTGGTTCAGTCCTGGTTGAGTCCATAAGGGTCAAAAATGGATGAAATGGGAAACAAATCATTATCTGTTTTTTTTTTTTTTTTCATTTTGGTTTTGGAGACAAATAATTTCCTATTTTTGGTTTTATTTTGAAAAACAAACAGACTGATCTCAAACACTCCCAAAATGACACTAACTCAATTTTTTTTTAACTCATTTTCTTACGCCGTTACACTTTAGTACATGTTTTGGATCAATACTTCACACACTTGCATGATTACTCGTACTTCTACTTGATCATCTCATTTCAAAGTAAAATGTTTAATCTTCTGTCTGCTCTTTTAAACCTGTTTTTTAGTCTCGTCTGTGTTTACTTTTTTCGCCTTTTCGCTCGCCTTTTAAACATGACTAACCTTTTTAACCGCTCCTTCTAACCCGCAGCACATAACAGAGAAGCTGGCCCTCACCTCCAACGTAAGTGTCTGGCGATACTCCGCTCATAACGCGGGCTCTGGCGCCATCTGCTGACCGCTTTAGGAACTGCAGCTTTTTTTTTTTTTTTTTTTTTTTTTTTTTTTTTCCAGGACTGAACCAGGACTAAACGAGGTCCAGGACCAGACCGGGACTGAGACCAGGATTGAGACCGGGAACAGGACTAGGACTGAGACTGGGACCAGACGAGGACTGAAAACGATTTAGTCCTGGTTCAGTCCTGGTTTAGTCTTGGTTCAGTCCTGGTTCAGTCCTGGTTCAGTCCTGGTTCAGTCCTGGTTTAGTCCTGGTTCAGTCCTGGTTCAGTCCTGGTTCAGTCCTGGTTTAGTCCTGGTTCAGTCCTGGTTTAGACCTGGTTTAGACCTGGTTTAGACCTGGTTTAGTAGGTCCTGGTTCAGTCCTGTTCAGTGGTTTAGTCCTGGTTTGAGTTTAGTCCTGGTTCAGTCCTGGTTCAGTCCTGGTTTCCTGGTTCAGACCTGGTTTAGGTTTAGCCTGGTTTAGTCCTGGTTCAGACCTGGTTTAACCTGGTTTAGTCCTGAGGTTCCTGGTTTAGTCCTGGTTCAGTCCTGGTTCAGTCCTGGTTCAGTCCTGGTTTTAGTCCTGGTTCAGTCCTGTTCAGACCTGGTTTTAGACCCTGGTTCAGACCTGGTTTAGTCCTGGTTCAGACCTGGTTCAGTCCTGGTTTAGTCCTGGTTCAGTCCTGGTTCAGTCCTAGTCCTGGTTTAGTCCTGGTTTAGTCCTGGTTTAGTCCTGGTTTTCCTGGTGTCCTGGTTCCTGGTTTCAGTCCTGGTTTAGTCCTGGTTTAGTCCGGTTATGCGGCGCATTAGTCCCTCATCACATTCTAAAGTCACGGAAACACCATTTCCCATTTCCGTGACTTAAACCAGGACTAAACCAGGATTAAACTGTTTTCAGTCCTGGTCTGGTCCCGGTCTCAATCCTGGTCTTAGTTCTGGTTTGGTTCTGGACCTGATTTAGTCTTGATTCAGTCACTGCGCACTTTTCTGCCCAAATAAAGTCAGTACCTGGATTTAACTTGATAAAATAACGTTGGAATCCAGGTGGTGAGTTTATTTGTCGCTTTCTAACTTTTTACAGATGTTATAAACGTCATTTGATATCAGGATATTTCGGTTATTGTTACGTCCTTATATTAATTCACATTTCCGAAACATGTTAAATTAACTCTAGAACAGTTTGGACTCGTATAAACCCCGAGAAAATGTTAAAATTGATTCTGTGAGAGTCAGTTTTAACACTCTACGTTTTGCTGTGAGTGTTTTGGGTCACATTTGTAGCCTGAAAATATTTCTGTAAAAAAAAAAACACCTGAAGGAGAAGAATCTGTGTATCATTCGTTCATTCGACTGAATCAGGTCCGGAACCAAACCAGAACTAAGATCAGGATTGAGACCGGGACCAGACCAGGACTGAAAACGGTTTAATCCTGGTTTAGTCCTGGTTTAAATCATGGAAATGGGAAATGGTGTTTCCGTGACTTTAAAATGCGATGTGGGACTAATGCGCCGCATACAAACTGAACCAGGACTAAACCAGGACTAAACCAGGACTGAACCAGGACTGAACCGGGACTAAACCGGGACTGAACCGGGACTGAACCGGGACTGAACCGGGACTGAACCGGGACTGAATCGGGACTGAATCGGGACTGAATCGGGACTGAATCAGGACTAAACCGGGACTGAACCAGGACTGAATCAGGACTGAATCAGGACTGAATCAGGACTAAACCAGGACTGAATTAGGACTAAACAGGACTAAACCAGGACTAAACCAGGACTAAACCCAGGACAAACCAGGACTAAACCAGGACTAAGAACCAGGACTGAACCAGGACTAAACCAGGACTAAACGAGGTCCGGGACCAGACCGGGGCTGAGACCAGGATTGAGACCGAGAACAGGACTAGGACTGAGACTGGGACCAGACGAGGACTGAAAAGGATTTAGTCCTGGTTCAGTCCTGGTTCAGTCCTAATTCAGTCCTGGTTTAGTCCTGGTTCAGTCCTGGTTCAGTCCTGGTTCAGTCCTGGTTCAGTCCTGGTTCAGTCCGTATGCGGCACATTAGTCCCGCATCACATTCTAAAGTCACGTAAACGCCATTTCCCATTTCCGTGACTTAAACCAGGACTAAACCAGGATCAAACTGTTTTCAGTCCTGGTCTGGTCCCGGTCTCAATCCTGGTCTTAGTTCTGGTTTGGTTCCGGACCTGATTTAGTCCTGATTCAGTCCTTGTTCAGTCGAATGAACGAATGATACACGGATTCTTCTCCTTTACGAAATGCTCCAAATTCTCTATTCTCCACTCAGACTTTCAGAACCGCCGATATTCTCATAAAATTACCACTTTATTTTCATAAAATTACCACTTTATTTTGACTACGACTTTATTCTCATAAAATTACGACTTTATTCTCATAAAATTACGACTTTATTCTCATAAAATTACGACTTTATTCTCATAAAATTACGACTTTGTTCTTGTAAATTTATGACTTTATTCTCATAAAATTACGACTTTATTCTCATAAAATTACGACTTTATTCTCATAAAATTACGACTTTGTTCTTGTAAATTTATGACTTTATTCTCATAAAATTACGACTTTATTCCTGTAAAATTACGACTTTATTTTCATAACATTGCGACTTTTTCTGGCTTCGACTTTATTCTCATAATATTACGACTTTAATGTCAAAATATTACGACTTTATTCTCGTAGCGCCAGCATTTTATTTTATTTTTTTATCTGACCCTTATACTCCGTCGTAATCGTGAACAAATCAATTTCAGTTTTTTTGTGTTAAATATTAATTTTTATTTGTATTTTTCCAGGTTTTGCAGTCGGCCAAGGAGCAGATCAAGTGGTCCATCCTGAAATGATTTTTTGCCACGTTTTCTTACAAGTGTTTTTGTTTTGTTTTTGTTTTGTTTTGTTTTGTATCTCAAATGAAGAAGTCTTGTTACATAATTAATAATAGTAATAATAATTTTCTGTAGATGTATTTATTTATGTGGTCGATAAGGGATTTTTTTGTGTTTGAAGAATCTTTGTTACGATTTGCTAAAGCTGCATTTTACGATTTTTCCGGATTTTTTTGTCCCAAACCTGAAGAGTGCACTGACATAGTTCGCAAAAAAAACATAATTTATTTTGTGTAAATTGTGAGAATTAGTTACAGTGTTGGGGAGTAACAGATTACATGTACCGGAGTTACGTAATCAGAGTACAAATTATGAGTAACTGTATTCGGATTACAGTTACTTTGTTGAAGTAAATTGATTACACGGCGGATTTTCCTGTTTTCACATTTTGGGCTATTCTCTCTTTTTTTTGTTTTTGTTTTGGTAATTTCCACTCATTGCTGGAAACTAAACCAGGACTAACCCAGGTCTAAACCAGGTCTAAACCAGGTCTAAACCAGGACTAAAACCAGGACTAAACCAGGACTAAAACCAGGACTAAACCAGGACTAAACCAGGACTAAACCAGGACTAAAGCCAGGACTAAAGCCAGGTAAAAACCCAGGTCTAAGCCTGGTCTAAAACCAGGTCTAAACCCAGGTCTAAACCAGGTCTAAAACCAGGTCTAAACCCAGGTCTAAACCAGGTCTAAAACTAGGTCTAAAACTAGGTCTAAAACCAGGTCTAAAACCAGGACTAAAGCAGGACTAAAGCAGGATTTATGCAGGACTAAAATCAGGTCCAAACCAGGACTAAACCAGGACTAAACCAGGATTTATGCAGGACTAAAGCAGGACTAAAACCAGGTCCAAACCAGGACCGAACCAGGACTAAACCAGGACTAAACCAGGATTTAACAGGACTAAACCAGGACTAAACCAGGATTTAACAGGACTAAACCAGGACTAAACCAGGATTTAACAGGACTAAACCAGGACTAAACCAGGATTTAACAGGACTAAACCAGGACTAAACCAGGATTTAACAGGACTAAACCAGGACTAAACCAGGATTTAACAGGACTAAATCCTGCTGGGTGGACGTGTCTCTTCTTCTTCTATCAATAATATTTTTAATTTGGTTCAATAAAGACTCATCTTTTTATTTTCTTTTA